GTGTCCCGGGCAGGGGAGGGGGCAGGCTGGGAGACAGCCCGGCCCCAGGGGGCCACGGCTTCATGGGGCCCTTCTCCTTCAGGCTGCATGTGCAAGTTCTGGGACCCACCCTCAATCCCCTCATCCCCCGCAGTGGGCTCGGGCTCGGGCTGCAGCCGGCTGGGAGGCTGGCTCTGGGTAGGGCGGGGGTGGGCTGTGTGGCCTGGAGCGGGATCAGCTTGTAGGAAGCATCTAAATGGACGGCAGGTCAGCGCCCCTGAGGGTCGGGCCCGGAGACGGGAAGGAAACAGAACCCTGAAGGGACAGGAAAGGGCCAGAGATTGAGGAGAGGGACTTTGCAGCCTGGAAAAGAGACGGAATAGGCCAGAGGCCAATGCAATCATGACTGGTGTGGAGCTAGTACATTAGGAAGTGTTATTTACTCCTTCCCATAGCACACGAACTAGGGAATTAATCGCAGCAGGTTGAAAACAACCCAGCGGCAGTTTTTCTTCACATGACGTACCGTCAACTTGTGGAACTCCTCGCCAGAGGATGTCGTGAAGGCCAAGACCATAGCAGGGTTCTAAAACGATAAATTCATCAGTGGCTGTTAGCCAGGATGGGCAGGGCGGGTGTCCCTAGACTCTGTTTACCAGAAACTGGGATTGGGATGGGCAGGATCACTGGACGATTCCCTGTTCTGTTCAGTCCCCCTGAAGCACCTGACGTTGGCCACTGTCAGCAGACAGGATGCTGGGCTGCTGTGACCCAGTCTGGCCGTTCCTATGAGATGACCCAAAACCCGAACTCTTGCGCCCAGGTCTCCATAGTACTATTATTTGTTTCACAGTAGAACCTAGAACAGGGGTGGGGAACCTCAGGCCTGGGGCTCGGTGCAGCCCCCAGCTTGCCTGGATCTGGCCCCCAAGGCTCAGCCCCCGTCCCCACATGGAGGAGCCCCACGGCTGCCCCACCGCATGGCCCCCCAGGCTCTGATGCAGTTTCTCAAACTGTTCCACGGTGCACTGGTGTGCCACGGAGAACAGAATTCAAAATGGCCGCCATTAAAGGGGCAGGCAACCTTTATTTTTTGCGCAATAACTTTCCCCCGATCCTTCCCACCCCCCACTGACTTTTTTTTTTTTTTGCTCAACAAAAAATCCTTGATGTTCCTCATAAAAACCATCATGTTCCTCAGTCTTAAAACGTTTACGAAACACTGCTCTGGTGTGAGGGGAACGTGGGGAGGGTCTTCCTCCTCCGCAGTCCGGGGCTGCGTCGGTAAGGGACTTGGGGGGATTTGCGTGCGGCCCCGACCGACTCGTCTCTGGGTCAGTGGCCCCCCGCCCAGAAGAGGTGCCCCACCCCCACCCTAGAAGGAGTCGGATGCACTTGTCATGGAAGCCAGACCCCCAGAGAGCGGGCAGTGACAGGAGACAGCCTGAGGCCTGGGACGGGGGGGGAAGACTCCCTTGGGGGCAGGCCCTGCAGCCACATGCTGCTGAAACACCCTTCCCCTTTCCAGGGGAAATACTTTGAAATCCAGTTCAGCCGGGGCGGCGAGCCGGACGGGGGGAAGATCTCCAACTTCCTGCTGGAGAAGTCCCGGGTGGTGAACCAGAATGAGAGCGAGAGGAATTTCCACATCTACTACCAGGTACCGGCCCGAGCAGGGCAGGTGCGCCACGGCGCCACGTGCGAGTGTGAACAGGGGGAGTGTGACAGTGCACATCGTCAGTGCGCACAAGTCACTGCCTCAGCGAGCCGGACGGGGGGAAGATCTCCAACTTCCTGCTGGAGAAGTCCCGGGTGGTGAACCAGAATGAGAGCGAGAGGAATTTCCACATCTACTACCAGGTACCGGCCCGAGCAGGGCAGGTGCGCCACGGCGCCACGTGCGAGTGTGAACAGGGGGAGTGTGACAGTGCACATCGTCAGTGCGCACAAGTCACTGCCTAAGGGTGTCAGCCTTGTGCCAGGAGGCGAGTGTGCACACAAGCCTGCACGTATTCGTGTGTGGGCGTGCATGGGAGTGTCCGTGTCTGCCTGGGAAGGAGCGAGCGTGCCCCCGGCTTACAGGGGCTGTAGCACGCCTGCTCACTAGTGCTGAGCGGGACCTGGCGCTCAAGGGGAACAGACTGCCCCAGGGCTGCCGGGCAGGGGGCCCTCTCCGGAGCCCCCAGCCCAGCATTCGCCCTGCCCCTCTCCCGGCAGCTCCTGGAGGGGGCCTCCCAAGAGCAGCAGCAGAACCTGGGGGTCATGAGCCCCGATTATTACTACTACCTGAACCAGTCTGAAACCTACAAGGTGGACGGCACCGACGACCGGAGCGACTTCCACGAGACCATGGTGAGTGGCCGGGGCACGGGGGGCGTGCGCTCACAACAGCCCTGCAGGAGGAGGGAAGTCAGATTGCCCCAGAAGGCCGGCCCCGGCCTCCAGCAGACAGCCTGGGCTCCCCGCCCATCCTCCGCCGGGGACGCTTGCACATGGGCTGGGGTCCCTGAGCCAGTGGGGCTGCCATCTTGTATTTTCCCCCATTGTTCCTATGGCAACCGAAAGGGGCCCGTGGCCTGCTAGGTCAACAGCCCTGCAGGAGGAGGGAAGTCAGATTGCCCCAGAAGGCCGGCCCCGGCCTCCAGCAGACAGCCTGGGCTCCCCGCCCATCCTCCGCCGGGGACGCTTGCACATGGGCTGGGGTCCCTGAGCCAGTGGGGCTGCCATCTTGTATTTTCCCCCATTGTTCCTATGGCAACCGAAAGGGGCCCGTGGCCTGCTAGGTCGACTCGGCTACATCCCTGCCCTGGCACAGGAAGGGGCCTTCCGGGGCACCGGTCCAGTCCTCCGCCGTCCCCGTCAGACCTGTGCCCGTCGCCCTCCTCCCCCCGTCAGGGTGCCCCTCGGAGGAGGGTGCCCCGAATGCTGGGCGGCGTCCTGGCCGCTCTGCCTGTGGCGCGTTTCGAAGATAACCAGACACGATTGCGCAGTGCGCTGCCGCCCCCTCGCCTCTCTCGTCCCGCCCCTTTCCAGGACACTGGCGGGGCTGCCTGTGGCCTTGTCCTTGTCACCTGTTCCCTACAAGGTAGACGCTGCCTTCTTCTCGGGCAGCATCTCTTGGCCTTGGAAAACACGCGCGGGTCGGCCCCGCCTCCCAACCCCTCACTGTCCACAAAAAGTCTCGAATGTTTTCCCGGCCGAAGGGCCCGTTGCAGAAATGTTCCCAGTGGATTGGGTTTTGCTGGTGGTTTTGTGTCCCAAATGTCCCTGGAATAAACGGACGGGCAGAGCCCCCAGCCCCCCAGCCGGGCCGCAGGCTGACAGATGGTGTCTGCCCTCCAGAACGCCATGCACGTGATTGGCATCTCCAGAGAGGACCAGCAGCTGGTGTTGCAGATCGTGGCGGGAATCCTGCATCTGGGCAACATCAGCTTCCGAGAACAGGGCAACTA